CAGGCGGGCACATCGCTGCGAACAGACGGGCAGGCAGGAGCAGGGCCGGGAGAAGAGCGTGCCAGCGCCGGGAACTGCTGCCTTTTGCACCTCCAAATTCCCTGGGAAAAACAGAAACGCTGCTGGTCTGCTCCTAAGCAGAGTCGCGGTCAAGCCCTCCGTTTCGGAGCACCCGAGCCCTGAGGCTGGTGATGCACCCAGGGGTGCCCAGGGTGCGGAGGATGGGACTCCCGTGAGGCTGGGGGCTTTGGGGGGCAGAGGCAGAGCCACTTGTGCTGTGGCTCCCGCCTGCCTTCATACACGGACTGGGGTGAACCTGCGAGCACGGAGGCAGCCGGTGTGGCTGTCGAGTCCGTGCCACGCTCTGCCATGGCGTCAGGGTTCTGTGCCACCCAGGGGGCTGCTCCTGCACCCAAAATCTGCGGAGATGCTCGAGAAGACACCTGCAATGGATGAGGTGGAGGGACGCATCCTGCACGTGTCACTGCTTCCACTGTGCTTCCCCTGGGTCCCACTGCCTTTGCTGAATGGGAGCTGGGAGATGGTCTTAGGCCTTTGAAGGGATGGAGGGTGTGGGGTGGACAGCCCAAAAGCCTTCCCCAGTCTGGTCCTGAGCTGGCCGAGTGTGGGGCTGGGGGCTGGCCAGGGCCGCTCAATCCCCAGGGCGCTGGCACTGAGGGAAGGGGAGGAGAGATGGAGACAGCCGAGATTTATGCTGCCAGCGCAGGAGCAAAGAGAGAAGGGAGACAGCCAAGGTCAGAGACAGTGCTGCCAAAATTCACAATGAATCTGCAGGAGTGCTGGAGGAGAGAGACGGAGGGATGGGAAAGAAATGGAAAGAGGGAGGGCGAGAGCCCGGGAGACAGAGCAGGGCAAGGGAGTGGGATGGGGCTGCTGAGAAAGGGGACATGCTGCTGAGAAAGGGGACATGCTGCTGCTCAGCCAAAATAATTAAATGGGGGTGAGAGGGACAGCAAACGGGAGCCCCAAGCCAGCACAGGAGACAGCAGGAGCAAGAATGGGAGGGAGCTGTGAGGGCTGTGGACACGTCTCTGTCCCTCCAGGCCCCTCCAGCACACCCCCATGCAGCACAGCCCAGTTTTGGGGTGTTCACAGCTGCTGCAGCTGCCCAGTGCCCTCTGGCAGTGCTGACCCTGATCCAGCCCTGCCATGGAGGTGAAGTTTCATTCCTGCCTCCTTAGTATTCACAGTGCCCATGGCAGCGCGAACGCCTGCAGCCGGCACGGCTCAAGGTGACTCGGAGGTCAGGGAAAAAGCAGGCAGGCAATTTGGGAGCCAGCCGCTGGCTCCACACCAGCAAGGAGATCCAGCGGTTTGCAAGGACTGGAGGTGTCTGGCACACCGTGGCCTCCCCTCCTGGCATTGCCGGTCCCCGTGTGCCACTGACACAGCACCCCAGTGCTCCCCATGCACACAAAGACGCACACGCAGTGCCGGCTGCCTGTTGGGTTTCTGATTCTGCAAACTGCCTCCAGGAGCTGTTGCCACCAACAAGGCAAGCAGGGTGGCTCTGCGCACCGGGGCTGGAAATCAGCCTTGGCACCGGGGCGGGCTGGAGCCAGCACAACTGGACACCGGCACGGATCATTTCCCTCTGGCAGGGTGCTGGGTGCCAGGGCAGGCTCGGTGCCCTTGCAGGGGCAGTGGACGCCTGCTTTGGGGCTCACGGGGGGCCTCCTCCAGGTCCCCATTGGGGATGCATCGCTCCAAGGGTGTTTTATAGCAGAAATCCCTCTCCCTCCCCAAACAGCGACAGCTCAGCCTAGGGTACCAGCTCTGCCCACAGGCAGCCGGAGGGACAGAGCCCTGCCTTCCACTAAGACCAGCTGCAGAGCCACATTGGGATAAGGCTCAAAACTTTCCTGGTGATAATTGAGATCTAATTATCTTCAGCTAACACCAGGCTGCTGGGGAGATGGGGAAAACCACAGGTGCCTTGTGATATGGCAACAGCTGATGCGCTGGGCTGTGGCTCAGGAGCACCAGGAGACTCGCTGTGCTCTGCCTGAATATAAAGCAAAGCATGGAAAGCATGAAATAGAGGGCTGACAAACTAATTTTTTTTTTTTTTTTTTTCTAGCTGGTGACATGTAAGTGTGCAAACACGCCACCTTTTCCTTTTGGTGGTGGCTGTGGCTGACACGGGTAGGTGACTGCACACCTTTACCCTTATCCCCATGCACAGAGATCAGATCTGAAACTCTTTTTTTTTTTTTTTTTTTTCCCCCCTTCTGCAAATTTCCTTCACCAACACAGTTTTATCAAACGTGCCTGGAGCTACACAAGACTGGCAGAGAAAGATGGGGTTGTGCCTCCCAAGCGGGTTTCTAAAATGTCAAGGGCGAAAAGAGGTCGGGAGGAGGAGAGCACTGGGGAAGTGCTCTCCATTCACAGGAACCTAAAATGAGATGAGCTCCTGGAGACATGTGTGCACTCCTTGTTACCCCCAGGAAGGTAATGAGGATTTATTTATATCAGCAGGTCCCTATCTGGGAAGCTTCTGGGAATCTGCAGTGCTGTGTCCAGCTCTGGATCCCCAACATAAGATGGACATGGGAGCAGGTCCAGAGGAGGCCATGAAGATGCTCAGGGGCTGGAGCTCCTCTGCTGTGAGGAGAGGCTGAGAGAGTTGGGGGGTTCAGCCTGGAGAAGAGAAGGCTCCGGGGAGACCTTAGAGCCCCTTCCAGTGCCTAAAGGGGCTCCAGGAGAGCTGGGGAGGGACTCTTGATCAGGGAGGGGAGCAACAGGATGAGGCGGAAGGGTTTTAAACTGAAAGAGAGGAGATTTAGATTAGATATTAGGGAGAAATGCTTCCCTGTGCGGGTGGTGAGCCCCTGGGGCAGGTTGCCCCGAGAAGCTGTGGCTGCCCCATCCCTGGAGGTGTTCAAGGCCAGGTTGGACGGGGCTTGGAGCAACCTGGGCTGGTGGGAGGTGTCCCTGCCCAGGGCAAGGGGGGGTGGAATGATAATCTTTAAGGTCCCTTCCAACCTAAAACTGTTCTATGATTCCTCTTCAAGCCGGGCTAACTAATTTTAATTGCAATTAGAAGTGGTGAAATACTGAAGTTTTGCCCCTGCTATTAAAACAGTTGGCCAAAGAACTGCCATCAGCCATCAAGACCTCAGCTACACCTGGGCACTAATTGCTGCCTCTGATACAACCTGGACTTTTTTTTTTTAAAAAAAAAAAAACACAAAAACTTTTGGGG